TAGTACAGGTTATGAAGCAGAACTATGATTGGAAGAGGTCTGTGGCTAAGGATTACCAGCCTAGTGACAAAGTTATACTAGAAGCTACTAACCTGACCACAGATCACTCAATAAAGAAGTTGGACAACAAGTGCTTCAGACCCTTTGTTATTAAAAAGAAGGTTAGTGCCTCTGTCTACAAACTCTAACTTCTAGCAATATGGAAGCACATACACCTAGTGTTCAACAAGGTTCTACTGTCTTAGTACTATAATCCAGGTTTTCCTTCACAACAAAGACCCTTACTGTCTTTACCAGAACTCATCAGTTCTGAACTGGAATACAAAGTAGAGTACATAGTAGATACTAAGCTAGTGTACAGAAAGCTCAAGTTCCTTATCTACTAGAAGGGATACCCAGTTGAAGAACACACTTAGGAACCTGCTGAGAATCTCACCCATACTACTAAGACAATCTGAGACTTCTATTGACTTCATCCAGGTACTCTGTGTTAACTCTGCCTCACAGATTTCCAAACCCTACCATTCTAACCTATACCCAAGCTGCTGACCAAGCCTAATGTTCACTAATCAGAATGATTGGTTTTAGAGGGGGGGTGATATTACAATCCTCCACTCTCTTACCTTCAGTTCTGAGGGTTCTGCACCCTTCTGTACTAGAACTCAGGACTTCTGTCCCTTAAGGGTACTGTTTATAGACTATATGTGTACTGACTCTTACTACTACCCTTCCTTACTTCATCATTCCATTCCTTTGACCACTCCTTTATTCTCTGTTCATTCTATAGTCTCTTACCCTTTGTCCATCCCTTCATTCTTTGTACCTTTATCTTTGACATTCCTTTCTTTCATTCTTTGTAGCTTATCATTCTTAAGTGGCTCATACTCTCTGAGTACTCTTGTGTAGTTTAGTATATATAGGTGTACAAGATCAGACTGGTCCTGTAGTCTTGATCTTGTCTACTCTAGGTAGTCCTGTACTCTTAGGCTCACTCTATATACTCTACTCTTGTCTCACTCTCTCTCTCTACTTGTTCTGCAAGTTCTGACTACATTCTAGTGCTTACATTCTGTACTTCTATTGTGTAGGATAGTTGTAGCTTGGGTCCCCTTGCTGAGCCTTTGGGTCCCCTCTATACTGTTACTGACAACTACAGACTGAATCAGTACCTATTACAATTTATTGTAATAATCAAGGTGTAATAAAGACTGTAAAGTCTGACAAAATAATATACAATACTTACACTAAACACCTTAATTTATAAAAAGACTTTGTACAAAACAATTACATTAATGTATACTATGTTCAATTACAGAACCAATTAGCAGACATTCTTACAAAAGCTCTCCACATTCTACAAATCAAGCATCTAAACAAACTATTAGGTATACAGTCCTAGTTCTTAATTAATACTTGAAGGGGAGTATTAGATTGTACTCTGGATTAGGAAATCCCTAATTGCCTTATGTAGAGTTACTACAATTAGAATGTCTCAGACTATCAGACTTTACTAAGTAGTATATAAGGTAGACACTCACTTAATGTCTTAATAAGAGAGAGAGTACTTAAGGTACTCCTACTATGCTTGTTAAAACCCTAATTACCTTATGTAGAGTTACTATACTTAGAATGTCTCAGACTATTAGACTTTACTATATAGTATATAAGGTAGACACTTACTTAATGTCTTAATTAGAGAGAGAGTATTTAGAGCACTCTTACTATACTTGTTAAAAGTTCTACACTGTTACATTGTGTAGACTTAAAAGTAACTAGTTAGACTAACTTTTAAGACATTCTAATACTTAACACTACTCTAGTTCTATAGTCTAAAGTATTTATAGTTATATAAATGTTCTCTCTAAAATAGTAATCTACTAATATAAGACACTCTTAACTAGTTACAATCCTCTTAATTGTATTAAAAGTCTGTTAGTGTTCTAAAGACTATTCTAGAAACACTTTATTACAATCCTTACTAGTTAGTAGTAAGAGAATTATAGTATACTCTACTAACTTAAACAAGTATGTTATAATAAATCTTAAAAGCTTAAGGAATTTACAGACATTCTATATATTCTAAGACTAGAACTATTATAGAATCTACTTAACCTTCTTAGAATTAGCTTCTGTATCTTATTCTATAATAAAGTGTTTAAGAAACATTAGTAACTTACAAAACAGCTATATCTTTTTGTTAAAACAGATGAGTCCTTTATTCTAAAGTACTTTTATTACCTTACTAATGTTAACTATATACTCTACTTTAGACTAAGACTAAATAATAATGTTATCTAAGTATATATAGTAAATGTATCTAATTAGGTACTTGAGAGTCTTAGTAACTTACTACTACTAAATGGCTAGTATATTGTATAAACTTATTAGTATAACAGTCTACTTATATAGTTTAAAGAGAGTGTTATTACTATTAGTAGAATATCTTTAAAGTCTATTTAGGTTTAGAAGAAAGTATTAGTTATATTAATCTTAGTATATATATACTCTCTAAGACAATTATTAAGAATTTTGTCAATCTAGAGTAAGAGAGTATAGTTCTAGATAGTATTACTATTAAGTACTTAATAATTATACACTATATACAGAAGTTTTATTAAATCTACCTTTAGAATTAGGAAAGTTAGAAATAAGTATAGACTGTTTAAGTACTATAACTACTCTGTCTGTATATACTAGTTAATTAGAGTATACTATACTTCTTAATATTTCTAAAAGTAAACATATAACTATACTACTATTACTTTAGAGAGATTCTTAAAACATATATAGTAAACAGTCCCTTTTAAGAGTTTTACTATTAGAGGTATCTCTTCTAAGAAACAGTTTTAGTATTATAACTTTATATCTTAGTCTAGTTTGTTAAAATAGTTTACTACTACTAGAATCTTTACCTGTTTATAAACTGTTATTACTATTAACTATACTAGTAGAAGTTTACTCTTAAGGTTGTTACTTAGAACTCTTACTTGTTTTAAGACTAGTTCTAGAGTGTGTTTTAGAACCTGTTTTATAGTTTAGTCCTTACAAAACTTTATTAGGTTGTATCTGAATCCCTTCTATACTACTATTCTCTCTTTTACATTAATTACTAAACAGTTCTTTTATATAAATAAGTTTCTAAGAATTATTTTATTATATAGATTATTAACTATATAAGTCTTTACAACTTTAGATGTTTACTCTCTGTCTACAGATTATACTTATAACTTTACTTATTCTGTTACTTAAGTTCTAAAACTTCTGTCTAACTTAATTACTAGTATTATAGTAAAGAGAATTTTAAGTAGAAGGTACTTTAAACTTATCTAAAATACTAGTACTCTATTAATTAATACTATAGTATAACTAGTATTAATTATAAGTTAGACATAAATAAGTAAGGAGTTGTGTTTTATAAGAAGCTAGTATTTAGAGATTATAAAGGATTAAGAGGGTAAGACATACTTAGAGGTTTCTTCCTTAGAGAGTTTAAGAACTGTAAACTCTTTAACTACTATTAAGACTATTACTTACTTTAGACATATAAACTAAATGTATACTTCTATAATTAAAACAACTTTTTTAAGCTTTAGTAAGCTTGTTAAGTATTTATTAGCTTTATAATTTATAAACAGTTTGTAGTAACAGAAACACTCTTAGTACTTTATTAGTAGTTAGTGTTCTGTTAGAGAAAAGTAGAGTATATTTGTTTTAGCAGTATGACAGATTTTTGTTCCAAGACAAATAGCACCAATAAGCTGATTTTTTTTGAGCAAGCTGAGCTGAATATGAGCCATTTTGTTAATAATAAAAAATTCTCTATTTTTTTTGTGCTTCACAACGTGCAGATCGCGCATCGCAAAGCATTAATCAACGTCTAATTTCTACATATAGTACACAAATCAATTACAAATACACTTACCTTTACAGGAAAGACAAAGACTTTTTCAACATAGCTGTACTCAAAGGTCAAATATGACAATTAACTTACTTCGACGTGCGCATCCTTGTTTCTGCAGGTATTTCTACTTCTTCGTCCTGTCCGTGGCTAAGACCGCAGAATACATGTGATTGTGCTCAAGGATGTTTGCCATCAAAACCTTGTGCAAGTTCGGACCAACATCATTATCTATAGGGACGTCTATATACAGGGCTGAGCTATAGTTCTGATTGATATCAAGGCGGTCATCATCGGTGACAATGGCCAGGAGTCATATATTCATAGACGACGGATACAAATCGCTTGGCTTGTTCAATTTACGGACGCCGGATGAAGTGCATCTTTCTCCTCTCAGTGGAAGAAGATCGTGATGTGGGGTTTATCCTTCCTACCGAACCCAGTGTGAGCGGCTTCTGGAAGACGCGGGATATAACTTTCAATTGAGCCTTGCAAAGGTAAAAAGTACCGATACGTTCTGCTGCCAAAACGGTAATAGACTCCGGTAGAAACCGAATTGATTGTGACTGCAGCACATGAAATGCAGCGGTTTACTCTTTCCCGCTCTTGAGCGCGTCAGACTAATTTTTTCTTTTCTCCTCCGGCAGTATATTCTCTTCGTTTGTCCCGCGGCGTGGGAGGCCTTTAATGCTTTTCGGTAGCGAATTTCGGCGACGTGATTACAGGTGGTTGTCGTAGAGATGTATACTGCCAGTGGTAACTGAGAGCAGGTGGCTGTGATGGCAGACACACAGTCACGAGGCGATCTGAGGTAAATCTACCTTGTTCTGCTCCTGTGTTTGTTGCAGGTGTTCCGGGCGAGCCGCGCCTCTCCCAGTCCTTCCATGGCCGATACATGAATGCTGCATGCGACGGTCACGGAATAGCTTTGGTTAAGATTGATTTCCGGTGTCTCCACACTCAGGGAGCGACAAAAGCATTTAGTATTGAGAATTTTTTCATTCTTCGCCTGGGATGATCATACTGCACTGGATGTATGCACGTCAATTTGAGTATAAGAGCCAAGAATGGACATGCCGCTCAGTTCAAAAGCACCCCCACCCGTTCCTTCGCCTCTCCTTGCTAGTGCCACTCGCTTCCTCTGTTCTCCGCCAGTCGTCACGACTCTTTCCCTCTTCCCCTCCTCTCTAGTCGTTGGCGTCGAGTAGATCCGAGATGGCGACAGCGGATCTGCGATTAACATTCGGCGCGATGTACATTGGCTGCGTTATCTCCGTTTCGTATGTGCCTTCTCACTAGCTTTGGCTTCTGCAACTAATCCTTCGCGATGCTCCTCGTGCAATTTCAACCTATCCAACTCTCTCGCGGACCTCGTATTCCTTCCTGAATACCTGTGCATTGTATCTTTTGACGTGGTCGCTCAATTACTCGCTTCGGGCCCGGCCGACGATCAGCTTCTCTGGGATTGGAACTTTGCAAGCTTATTATTACTTCCGGCAGTTCCGGAAACGAGATTCGCGTCTTATGAAGTCAACAGTGAGTTATCTGTCTAGACGCGCGTGCTCGGCACGTCCGGAGAATTGAATGCCACGCGTGCTGACATGCTCCCCGCTGTGCCACCCAAGGTTCTTTCGGCATGGTGAGTGGTGTCGAAATGTCATTAACGTTATCTGAAGAGCTGACCATACATGTCAATCTTGGAAGGCTTTTGGACTTTGTACATACGGTTTTCATATGTCAAGGGATCTGGCATTATCTAGTGCTTGGGTGGGGAAACCAAGCTGAACTGGATCACCTCACATGGTTTGTTCCTTATCGCACTTCGCCATGTTGTCAGTACTGACGTGCACGCAATCAGGACGGTCGGAGTAAGTCGCCATTCACCCGTGTGTGTTACAAAACTGACTATATGCACCTCGAATTTAAGGCAAGCATTGCGGTAACTGGTCTGATAACTATTATTGTACAAATGTGAGCGTCATCTTGCATAAGAATGCCTTTTTCGAGATTCATTGAGCGGATCATGGGTCTCATTTACAGGTTCTTCGCAAATCGTGTCTGGCGATGTCAGTGCCATCCTTCAATCAGACTACATAATGCACGTACAATCTAAACTTTTCTATCCAGTAAGCAAGCACAATGCCGTGTTGACAGCCGTTATCGTATGTATATGCATTAAGAAGAGAGGCCGTTTTGAAGTTGACTGACTTCCGCATTCCAAGGTATTCCTGGCGTTCATACGACTGGGTTCTGCCTTGAGTAAGTTGCCTTTTCTTTTAACATGAAGGATACAGATCCTAGTTTTAACGTGACTTCTACAGCAACTACGGTACAGATGTACGGTTACAAGCACATGATTTGAGTGTAAACTGAATCTCCTTTGCAGGATTCGCCTTCAATCGTTCAAGGCATTCATTAGAGACTTTCGAGTAAGCCAGAATTTCGCATCCATGACTAGTACTGGACAATGCTTTTCACAGTGGCTTTTCACGTTTGGTCTTTCGCTTTCGTGTATCATTGACGTTATAATTACGTCATCCCTGTGCTACTATTTGCAAGGCAATCGAACTGGATATTCAAGGTAAGTATATGTACCATGTTTAAATTTATTCGCTTCAACGTCCGATTGCAGCATCGATGATGTTCTTCACCGACTTCTCTTGTACACTATAAATAACGGTCTCTTGACAACATTCGCTTCAATGCTTGCCATGGTTTTTGTACGTTGTTTCTCAGCTTCCATAATCTGCGCAGTCGACTAACTGCTTTGTCAAGGCTGCAGCCATGCCAAATAACTTCCTTTTCCTCTCACTTCATTTCATTATTGCCAAATGTGAGCCGGTATACATATGAGTCTGTCGAAAATGACTGACGTAACGTAAATTCTAGGCTACGTTAATTCATTACTGGCAACACTTAATTCCAGAGACGCACTCAAGAGACGAGACGACTCCCATCCCATGGCGGTCCATATTTCTGTTGATGGCCCGAATTCACAGCCGCGCTTCTACAAACATCAAATAGTACGCCTCTCAATGGAACATGTCGATTTTTTTTTGGAATTCGAATGCTTACTTCGTTTGACTAGCCGCATGTTCGCTCAGCGTCAGGGTCGAATGGAAATGACGGAAGGACAGTTCCAGTTTCCGCAGTTGAAAGTATCGGTGTTGGTCAAACTTCCACCATTGGCAGTGTCAAGGTATGCTTACAACGCCAGCGATTAGTTATATTTCTGGTTTTCTGATACTATTCCTTCTTAACCACGACTCCATCTTCGATCACAGGTGCACGTAAACGTGGAACAGACTGTGCATCGAGACGACGGTGAAATTGAGGTTGATGCTACTCCGGAGGGGAGCATCAAATCGCCCTACCTCTCTTCTCTCGGAGAAAAAGATCACGATACTCTGGATGTAGTTCACTTGACCTGATGTACCCAGTTAGTTTGTTTCATCCTACGATTTTATTATTGATTCAGCTACTTCGATCCTTTCGTGTATTATGTAATTCAAACTTTTTCGTTCGTTGCGATGCCTCGTCATGTATCCATACGCAGTTCCTGCGAAAAAATTATCACATCCCTGTACGATACAAGCACTGGACTGACGACTCTGACTGAGGACTAGGATAGAACTTTCAACTTTCAATTGATAATACATGAGATGACATAAACATTAAATCACGTGTCAAAATTATGGGTTTTGCCGAACGCGAGGTTCACAAAATCAGAGATTCCGTCTTATAGTTCAGGCACCGACATCTGACGACCATGTGCCTACGAGGACCTACAACACGGAAACAATTGATGCAAGTACAATACTGCAATTTATTGCGTCGCGTCGAATGGCTATGTAAGATTATCTAATTTTTTTCGATAGGCGCTGACTGGTAGTAAGCTTGAACGAGTCCCTCATGCCTCATGATACATGATCAAAAAGGAAAGAAATCTGCACTTTGCGACGATCTTCCGGAATGAACGGCATGAAAACTTCGGTACGGTTGCGCCTCTCGTGTTTTGATGCGATCACCGTGGGAGACGGCCTTCTTGATGTTCCGCGCCTGGTAGTGTTGCGAAGTTCAAGGTTACATGTTTATGTGCTGCACGCATCCAGCACTGCATACGGGGCAACGGAAGGAGCTGTTTTAGCTACGTGTGACATTTTGGTACGTGTTCGTATGGGTTGTTTGGATAGAATTGAGTCTACTTAGTATTGAAGCCGAATGGTATCGTGTTTGAAAGGGTAATTATTTGTGTTACGAGGCTCATCCTTGCGGGATTTTTACGCGGCGTTCAGGCTCGAAGAAATGTTATTTTTTAAATGTTTCTGTCTCTCCATGAGTTAGGGGCTGACAACCATCGTTTGGATTCTTTCGTTGGTAAGTGCGGGTTCGTCGATATGTCAATGCGGCTAATCTAAGGGTTACCCAGGAGTGCTACGTGCGACTGATTCTCGTCTTGATGTATGGTGCATAGGAAATCTCAAGCAACTGGTATCTCCTTCGTAATCAAGATTACAAAGACAGGGCACCTTCAGCCTAACGAAGGACTTTTTGCCGCGTTCTTATTGGTCTTGTCAAGTCCTCGCGCCATGATTGTTACTTACACGCGCTGTGATAGACTATCCTTCAGCATTTTTGAGACTTCTCATGGTCACCCACGAATCCTCACCCTTCGTCATTGCTGCGGGGCGAGCTACTTCCATTGAATACACAGTCTAAGAAAGGCTCACCTTCCGAAGAATGGATGTTGTAAGGTTAGATCGTTGTGACTTATTTGGGATATCGGCGACAACGGATACGCCCGATCAATGTAGTCTGGTACCAATGCTGACAGTGTTTCCCATTCTTTATCGGCAAACTGGCCTTGTCATGCGGTCTTCGTATTGGTAGTATTATTTGACTGCTACTAGTCTATTTCTCGATCGCTGACCGAGCTTCGGCGTCATGCACTACACTACCATTCGGAAGCAATACTCCGTCGCGAGACGCTTCATGTTTTATCCTACCGTACTTTATGGAACGTTCTCCTTTTCCCCTCTTTTTTACCCCATATACACACTTGTCTTGTAACGCCTACGATCTCGTCTGTACTCCTTCGTTTTTATTTGGTATTAGGTATTGAGGCAAAGAGATGGCGACTGCGGATTTGCGATTGACGTATGGTGCCATGTTCATAGGCTCCGTTATATCTGTTTTGTGCGTATCTTTACTTGCACCGTACTGAGATAATCTCTTGACACTCATATTCGACTTACATGATGTACATCGGTATATTTCACTATGATTGATCATTCTCGGTATCTCTTGTGCCTGTTCCTCAGTTTGTCCGGCATTGGGACTCTTCAAGCTTATATGTATTTCCGACACTACGGAAGGAAGGATTCGCGAGTCATTCGCTTGATGGTACGGCTTTCTTAAAGCAGCTCCTTCTAGATTTGTTGAGACGATAATTGCTGCACTGTCAGGTGCTTGCAGTCTGGTGAGTAGTCACTATTGTTCCCTGCGCGGGTTGAAATGCGTTTGACACGCAAATTGTTGTCAGGATTTTGGATTTTATCCACACAGTTTTTATCTGCCATGCAGTCTGGAACTATCTAGTTTTGAATTGGGGTAACCTGCAAGAATTAGATCGTTTAATTTGGTAAGACGTTATGTGAATTGAGTGGAAGTTGATTGGTATTGAGCGTGGTCTGCAGGAGTATTGGGGTGAATTTACACCTTCTTCATCTAATGATCCATCTAACTATTGCACTCTCCGTGTTAACAGGCTAGTATCGGAGTCACCGGCCTTGTTACTTTTATTGTGCAAATGTGAGTTTTACCGTATCTATTAGCTTGTGCAATGTATTAATATTCCGACGACTTATGATAGGTTTTTTACTTTCCGGGTCTGGAGGTGTCAGTGTTCTCAATAGCTTGCTGAACATCAATGACTTACTGTCACTTACGCCTTCCATACAGTCAGCAAGCGTAACAAATATTTAGGCATTTGCGTCGTACGTTGTCTAGAAGTTCCGTGGATATCGACGACTGACCTCATCATGAGACTTGCATGGCTGCTGTTCGGTTGGGATCCGCACTAGGTGACCATCCTAAACATTTGTCGATTTCATATCCACGACGTCTAAATGCCTTTTTATAGCGACTTCAGTCGAGATGTGAGTTATCGGCGCAGTTAAACGTGAAGGTCATTTTAAATAGTCCCAAAGGATTCGTCTTGGCCATTACTCGACATTCATCCGCGAATTTCGGGTATGTCAATCCAGAGCTATTTTTGAAATACACTGGAATGCAGATGGCTTCGTCTAGTGGCTATTTACCGCTGGATTGGCACTGTCGTGTTTCATTGAGATTCTGCTCACGTCGTCGTTGTGCTACTATTTGCAAATTAATCGGACCGGCTATTCGACGTGAGTAATCGGTATTATGCTCTACATACTACATTGACGATACTCGCCTCGTAGCATGGACGAAATTATCCACCGATTGCTCATGTACACCGTTAGTAACGGGTTAATAACTACCTTCGCGTCATTGCTCGCAATGCTTTTTGTAAGTCAAGTTCCGCATACCCCATAAACTGTACTTATTGTGCGAGTAGGCCGCTACCATGCCGCATAACTTTTTGTTCATCTCGCTTCATTTTGTCATCGCTAAGAGTATTATTGTTTGGTTCTGGTACGTTAAGCCAAGCTCGCTGACCTTCCTTTGTCTATTTCAGCCTACATCAACTCTGTACTTGCAACTCTCAACTCGAGAGATGCACTCAAGAAGAGAGATGATTCAAATCTTATCGCGGTCCAGATATCTGTTGAAGGGCATTCACAGCCGCATTTCAGGCGTTATAATGTATGCATTTCTTCCTGATTAAACGCTAATACGCTGAAACTTTATCTACTTGGAGCCAAACAATCGTTCTCCGCCTGTATCTGACAATCGCGGGATCGCACTCGCTACTGCCGATCATTTCGCAGAAGACGAGAGGCAGGCTGGCGATCTCAAAGTAAAAATTTTGTTACGAGTTCCTCCTCGGATCGTTGATGCTGATCTATGTTTGAACATTAGGTGCACGTACATGTTGAACAAGCGTTTCACAGCGACGAAGAAATGGAAGGTGAGCGGAGGCTAGACAGTTGTTATAAGATGCCACCACTATCGCTTGGCGATGATGTACAAAGGATGAAGGATTTGCGTCGGTTGGAGTAAATATCACTGTTTTATGTCATGTTCCATGCTATTTTATTAGTTTACACAAAAGAGGCTTCGTTTGCATGTTGCGGGGGAGCGCAGAAACTTTGTCTCGGACATACCGGCTCGAAAAGGTCGGAATTATCTTAGATACCAATAGTAATTGTTAACGAATTAACGTACTCCGCGTTTTAATTAGATGTTTCACCGTTGCGGGGTTGAACGCGTGCTTATGACTTCTTTGTATTTCGGCAAGAAGTACAAGAATCAAAGCAGAGCATAAGAAGGCGTACGGCAGTGCAAGATTAGTTATGGTGAACTGTATTGAATTTGTCAGCCTGTTGCATTTAAAGTCGTTCGGTTACTATCCCAGTCCTCGTGCCAGGCTGTTTCAGGGCGCCTTGCTTTTTGCCTTGAAACTTTAATCAGTACTAGTGGTTCACTACGATCGTTAGATCTGTAGGAGTGGCTTCAGCGACACAATGCAGCACGGGATCGTCGGTGAGCGTTGACGGCATTATAAGTTGCAAGGATCGCGGCGAGCTGGGAAACTTGCGGTAAAGAATCTACTAAAGATATGCCTTAGCAATTGAGAAGTCTTGAGTATCCGGAAACAGACTCATTCCTGCCTGCGGACTCTGTATTGGAGCCCGAGAAAATCGGATTCGTTAGTTTGATTGCTTCACCTGGCCATGAACGTTGGTCTAGCTCGGCGACCACAGAGACGTGCGCGTTGCCGTTTCCCTGGGCATGGTCTTGTTCTCTTGTTTGGTGCCAAGTTGGTGGAGATGTCCTTTGCCTTGGGGCTTGAGGTTCTTGTGGATTTCTTGGTCACAATTCGCTTGAGTACTGCTGACTCGGTATTTAGGAGGTGCAGGAATTGAAAGAAGCACCCACTGGCACTTGCGGCGTCTTCACTACACAAATTCGGTTACCGGGCAAGTCCGATCAATCTGGTCAAAAAAAAACACTTCTTGTCCGTTACTTCGTTGAACTCACGACTATCGCACCGGCACGTTCTTTGACTGGACCTATACATTGACTTCTTATCGACGGCTCGTGAAGTTATGCAATGCTACATTTCGGAAGCAGTGTTGTATCGTCTGGCTTATATGCTCTGGCATTGGCGTAGTTCATACAGATCTTTCCATCCCTGCCCCTCTTTTGCTCGAGGTCAACTTACTCGCCTTCGACGTTAGCGATATTCCTTACTACTTATCTCGTTTCATTGGCTGCTGATACGACATGGCGGTAACCACAGACCTGCGCCTGACGTTCGGTGCAATGTTCATTGGCTCTCTCATATCTGTCTTGTTCGTACCTCTGGTTTTCTTTTACATGTGGCAATAACTCAAGCCTGATTTATCGAAAATCCTTCCCCTGGTACTATCAACTCGAAAACACATGTCTCATACCGGGCACATACGATCTTTCTGTAGTTTATCTGGAATTGGCAATCTTCAAGCCTATATATATTTCCGACATCACTGGAAAAAGGATGCCCGGTTACTCGTCGTAACAGTAAGAAGTTATCTATTGTCCTTACTCAGAAGTCTAGTTGACCGTCGCTTTGATGACAGGCTTTTGCGGTCTGGTACGACCTTATCTTTTCACTAAGTTCGCTCAACCGAGTATATTAAATTCAGGATGCTGGACTTCCTTCACACGATATTTATCTTCCATGGAATGTGGATATCTCTCGTGATTAACTGGGGAAGTGAGCAAGAGGTTGACCATCTAGTATGGTGAGTAGGTCGAGGATCATATAGGGATTCTCAAGTACCAACACAATCTGCAGGAGTATTGGGGTGAGGATGCAGCACGCTCCGCTAGTTATACTTTAATTGATTGTTTCTCTGACCGCTGTCCAGGCCAGTGTTGGTGTCACTGCATTCGTTGTGTTCCTCGTCCAAGCGTAAGTTTAATCCCGTGCAGATGATTTATTGGCATCATTTTTTGACGCTACATATTCTAGGTTTTTCATTGTGCGGGTTTGGAAGTGTGAGTATTCTCTGCAGGAGAGACTTCAAGTAATTGATGTTGTTTCGACACAGTTAGCAAACGGAACAAATTTCTGGGTATTGGCGTCGTGCGTTCTTTGAATTCTGTACGTAACTGCGAGCTGATTTTAGCGCAAGTCCTGTATCGCTGCTGTCCGATTGTGTTGTACTTTAGGTATTATACCCCGTTATTCGATGTGTTCTGCACTCACGCAACATCATCACTCTTTATAGCGTCATCTATCGAAATGTATGAAATTCGCGTAAACTTTTTGGCTGAATAGACTTGACAAACTTACAGGATCATAACTGCTCGGTTTTCAATTTTCATCAAAGAATTCCGAGTTAGCCATACTTCCTCATCTATATCATACGTTGACCCAAAGCGTAAACGATTATTTCAGTGGCTTTTTACTACTGGACTTGCGCTAGCGTGTATCGTCGAAATTATACTGACATCGTCACTATGTTACTACCTGCAAGTCAATCGAACCGGCTACTCAACGTGCGTGCATAATATCTAATCCGTATATTCCGTTGACGTTAATACATTTTACAGGATGGATGAAATTATTCACAAGCTACTTATGTACACCGTCTGTAATGGGCTTGTCACCGCGACAGCATCTTTGCTAGCAATGGTGTTCGTACGTGGTTTGTTCATGTCCCCCTATGTTGATTACTCAGCATGCTTGTATAGATTGTGACTATGCCACATAGTCTTCTCTTTCTCAGCCTGCACTTTATTATCGCCAAATGTAATGCTATTTGAAATGCGTAGCTACCTTATTTCAAGTTTACTAACGATCACCCGTTGCGATTATCCTAGGCTATGTCAACTCATTGCTTGCGACTCTTAACTCGAGGGATGCGCTTAAGAAGAGGGAAGACACAGGTCCTGTTGCAGTGCAGATCTCTGTTGAAGGTCATTCACAACCGCACTTTAGGAGTTACAGGGTACGACGTTCTCTACGCTTACAAAAACGAACTGCTCATCATAATTGAAGCCGAGTCGTAAATCACCACCCATAATTGACGAGCGTGGAATTGGCCTCGTTGATGCAGATGCTTTCGTGGATGACGGAAAACCAGTTGGTAGCCTCCAAGTATGTTGTTTTGCGGGTCTTGTCGAAACTATTGATGTTCACTGACATTTATTTATAGGTGCACGTCCATGTTGAACGCGCAATCCACAGTGACGGGGATGTCGAAGCGGCGCCGGGAAGGGAAAGTATTTATAATAAGAAGCCAGGATCGATTACTAGTGGTGACGAGGAGCAACAGACGAGGAGCTTGCCTCAGTCTGATCGTGCTTAGTAACGCTTCGTCCGTGCATTTATTCAAGAGAAAGTCATACGATTTGATAATGATTTTTACGAGACTTTATAATTGTTCCTGTTCCCCTCATCACCCTTTGTCGACAAGTGTCCTTACGATGTCAACGAGAATTGTATGAAGTGTTTGTTGTGATTCCCATATAGACATCGTTTTGCGTTTGCGTTTGCGTTTGGTAGATAAACGTAGCATATATCCACCTAATTAGTTGACCAGTTCACAATCTTGTTACACTAGTGTCTATATTAGATAATAAATATACGCTAAAGTGATGCGGGTATACAGGCCCTTTGTCCTGCTGGTTGAAATGCTGTAATCCGTTTCAGTATGATTCAAGGTGACAGAACGTGGGATTTTGGCGGATCATTGGTCGGCTCAGAGCATCCCGGTGGAGAGTGCCAGCCCTCCCACAGCTAAGAAAGTGAATGGTGACCAAGCCTCCCGATGTGTCCATGCCGCGCTTGAGTAGGCTGGTGGGTTTGAACTCGTATCATTCGTCTCAGCAAGCTACGCAAGTGAATTAAGTGGTTAGCGACACGTGGGAAAAGAATAAAAGGGCCACTGGTACTCACTGTAGTATTACATGTCCCTGATGAACATCCAAGATTATCGTTAACCGCGACTACTTGTGCCACACCCTTGTCGACTGGAGACGGGTTTGGTGCAGCGGAAGCTGTGGAGGTGTGAAGAAACTGTAGATTAGAAACGACCCAAGTGAATAAATAGCGAGGAGGTTGACGTACCAGCAATGACAAGTGCAAATAGAGAGAATGCAGTAGCACGGGGCTTCATGATGGAATCGAAGGGATAACACAAGGGATGTACGAAGTCAAAGGGATAGATGAAACTGTAATTTAGTTTGCAGACAGGCCAGCCAAAGTTCTCGTAATGAACGTCGTAGCGAAATGAAGAGGTAGAGAAAGGTGGGGATGAATGGGATGCTCGGTCAACGATAGCTTTTCACTCAAGGTTTCTCTTCAGTTATATGCACGGATCTCAGAGACAAGAGGTAAATCTTCATTGTTTCTTTGGACGTGGTCATCGTGCTAGAACACACAGCAAAGGATCTAGTGTAGATCCTACTGGCTACCTTGTTCGGATTGTTGTATTTTCCTTTCGAATGGAGAAAGACAGGGTGTGATTTCCCAGGAAAATACAATGACGAGAAGGCAAGCTGGTCTCCTTTGACAATGGGTAAGCAAGAAAAGAAGGTTCCGAAAAAACAAGGCGGAGAAAATAATGGTTGCCTATTTTGAGTGATCGACTGTGATCGACAGTAATTTTCCAGGCCGTGTTTGATTCAAGTTTGAACTCTATAAGAGGATTTGTTTGCAACTTTGCGCAGGCAGTAGTGTAATTGAACCTCGGGGCCGTTAGGTATGTTGAAGAATTTGCCGTTCTTTAGGCCGCACATGGAATTACTTGACTCAAGCTATGGAAAGATTCACGGATCAAATAAGCACGTAATCGTGAATTGCGAGAACATTGTATTCTTTGCAATCCTCCGGGAAAAAATTACGAAGTCATCAGTACGTGCAAGTGAGTGAGTGAGGATGATTAAGAAGTGATATATGTAGTCTATATGCTTCAGATAAGTTAATGCAAGAAGGATCCATGAGGAAAGCAATATCATTCGTCGTCACTAAACGAAAAACAATGGCGTTGAGCTGCTTCCAAGCGACATAAGTCAGGGGCAAGAAATTGGACTTACTCTGATGATTCTCTTTTAAGAAAAAGGTCTATTGCGGCAGAGAAGGCTGCAAAAGCAGCTCCGCCGCCAAGCACAGCTTTTGGACCAGAATTTCGTGCCAGAATACCTCCGGCAATGAAGCCTGCGAGCGTTGGATTGACAATATCATTTCTTGCGCGGTACTACGGAGTGATCTTCTCGTCAGAGATGTAGACGTCATTAAATAGGACGGAATACGCACAGACTCTATTACACATTCCAAACCCGCAAACAGTGCCCCAACCTTTCCGAAACCCTTCCCACTCCTCCACATGCCCTTTCCCATGTCCTTAAAAATCTCTCGCGCCTTCTGCGTCGTGTTCAAAGCCGATTGCGATTGCGGTCGTAATAATGGATCCTCATAAGCAAATGACGAAGACATAAGCGAAAAGAAAGCACCGAGGCCGAATCCTTGAAATAAGACGATAAGAGCATAACTAAAGACGTTTTTCTCAAGATAGATGCTACGTACCTGCAACACCTGCCATCCCCGTTTTGAATAGACACGACTCTGGTACCGAGGACATCATGTCCTGATACTTTTTCGCCTGCATGATTTGCGCTCGGTCCTCCTCCGTCATTCCGGGGGGCAATGGCTCCTTCCCAGCAGGAAAGACGGGAGTTACTGGTGGCCACGGCATCGTTACTGATGCCTCACGGCGGCCCTTCAGTAAAATGTAATGAGAATGTGTTGGACCTGAGCTCAAGTTTTTGGGCACGCTCGCCCGTGACCAGAAGTGTGACGTAGTCATGTGCATCGTATATACGTGACGCATTTACGAGAGCGGAGTCTTAAAGTAAACGACCATCATGATGTTCCCGCCCAGGCAGCAGGATCCTGACAAACCAATACGCGAAACGGACAACGATGCATCGCTGGCGCGTCTGTCTGCTGTAAAGAAGAATTATCTCTCCGATCCATATGTACAATTCTTTGTGCCACGTGCACATCTACAGCCGCCACGTCCTCCGCTCATAAATATTGGAACGTATATTCGATCTGAGAGTATTGATCGGCTTGTCGACTCGTGGATAAAGCTTTGCAGCTCCGAAGGGAAGTCATGTCAGCTCATCAGTCTTGGCGCAGGAAGTGACACGCGATTCTGGAGACTCGCTGTGCGTTGCTTGAAGCTTTTCCGAAGCATTGCGCTCACGCGTTCAGCAGATAGAATAGCGACAATAAAAACAGTCTTGCGAAGTATATTGAGATTGATTTTCCAGAAATTACAACTAAGAAGGCTATGGCTATCAAGAAGCACAGGGAGTTGATCGAAGCGCTTGGTGGTGAAGAGCAGGTGTCACTTGGTATGCAAATATCATGCACCATATACGTCAGCTTACCTTTCATTCTAGCTAACGGCGGCATAAATCTGCATTCTCCGATCTACCATCTGCTGGCTGCTGACATACGCAAGCCGCCGTCTATTTCTCTTGCTCCTCTTCTGACGACATCGACCGACGGGTTCTCCCCTCTACTCGATCCTCAAGTACCGACTCTCCTTCTCTTTGAATGCGTTCTTGCGTATATGCAGCCTGCCGAGTCTTCCGCGTTAATAGCATGGTTCACGAACTGTTTCCGACAATCGGCTCCACTTGGTGTAATCGTGTACGAAATGTTTGGTCTTGAAGACTCATTTGGGCGCGTCATGAAGAACAATCTAAAGGTGAAAGGCTCTGGAAGAATACCACTTGCTGGTAGGCTGAGTTTTCGAATCATAGATGCGAAACGTGGACCTTCCCGGCGCAGAATCTTATACCTCGTTCGAATCGCTCCCACGCCGTTTTACTGAACATGGTTATAAGCTTTCAAAGGCTCGCACCTTGAAAGATATCAGGTATACATGTTTACCTGCAGATCGGGTCCAAAGGTACTTTCTTCCTAAGATGTCGTCTTCGATTTTAACTCATGCCGTAATGTACAGTACCATGCAACTTGAAATGCTCGATGAAATAGAAGAATTAGATCTAGTTCTTGCACATTATGCCATCACTTGGGGCTCAATTTGGCCGGATGCACTTGATAACGATTCACCAAAGTGGCTGGCTTGGGAATTGGCTTGGGACGCAGACGAATAAACATCACTGACGCCGAATATATGCGCCGGAATTGATGGACAACTGTACCATCCTCTTTGTAATGATTGAATTTAACCTTTTCTATCTTAAGCCTGGGAAAGCTAGCTCTGCCATTCCATCAACACTCGTCGGAGTGTCTACGCTAAGATGCGGCGTTTAAGAGGAACTCACTCGACGGTTAGCCTTTGCGCCAATAAATTCCGCACCTTCTATCGCCACGAGCTGTTATTCATAATAGGCCCAATCACCGCAGCTTAATTATGAACTTGACGGGCGAGATAGGAAAAAGGGCTGTTTGGAAGTCTGCGAAGGTTTGTCAGTGGTTTCGAGGCAGAGTGCTTTCAAAAGAGCTTTCGATACGCTCCTCAAGCTCCTCGTCCACTGAATAGCATTTTATCGCATGAATCCACGCCTACGTGGAATACTCAAGCACCTCTTCATAAGGACTCTTAATTCTCGTTCGTGCGAATGCACCTAGGGTTGCATGTTGTTACGAAACGCTGGCTGTGGCCCATTCCCAAGCCGATCTAAAACCGCTAAATACCTGATCTCATAGCGAATGTCTACTATGATTCGGGTATTAGCAGGGTTTGTTTGCTTTTCGAGAGCTCACCTTTCATGAGGCGAATGCAGACTCGCAGTATGGCTTGAGCATAACGAGTCGGAAGTATCTGCGTTTACTCACCCTTGCATTTGATAGCAGGCACCATGACTGGTGGACATATCTCGCTGATATTCCCGTGAGGAAGAATTACGCTCCGTGAACCACGCCGAATACAAGCCATGCTTCTCTCTTGGCAAAATGTTCCGTTGGTTCTGCTAATCGCAGTACATCCTTTACGCATAAGTGGCACTCCGCACGCTCCGCAGGACAATTTCTGCGTGGATATAAGCTGCAAATCTGGACCGTGGATGCGTACTCAGACTCTCCGAGGCCATACCCCTTCATTCCTGCGCGCGGACTATCCATAGCCCCATCTCCCGCGCTTGACACTGAAACTTCCTCCGCGTATAGACATGGCCAGTGTTATCTCTGGGGATACCGTTGCTGAGCATAACAACAGAGATAGCTGTTGGATCGTCATCCATGGAAATGTATACGATGTTACCAATTTCTTAGATGGTTTGTCCTTTTTTTTAAGTGTGAATATTGAGCTTACTGAGTTTGCTTTGATATAGAGCACCCTGGTGGCGCAGCTATCATTTTAAAGTACGCCGGAGCGGACGCAACTAAAGCATATGAGCCGATACACGCATCTGATGTCGTCACTACACACCTTCCGAAGGAGAAGCACCTCGGACCAGTCGATCTTGCAACCGCCAAGCAAGTCGTCGAGATCAAGACCCCGGAACAACGCAAGCGCGAAGCACTTATGGCGGCTCGTCCTCCGCTCCAAGAGATCCTAAATCTTTTCGACTTCGAAGTTCTTGCTCGATCACTTCTCCCGCCGAAAACGTGGGCATACTATTCTAGCGGTTCAGATGACGAGATTGCTTTGCGCGAAAACCATAATGCGTTCCAGCGCGTTTGGTTCCGTCCACGTGTACTGCGAAATGTTAGTAATGTCGATATGAGCCACAATATTTTGGGGTGCAAGTCGAGTATGCCTTTCTATATTTCGGCGATGGCTCTTGGGAAACTGGGACATCCGGATGGAGAATTGTGTCTCACGCGTGCGGCTGGGAAAAATGGGATTATTCAGATGATTTCGACTTTTGCGTCTTTTACGTTCGATGAGATCGTCGATGCCACTGCGCCTGACCAGGTCCTCTTCTCCCAATTGTGAGTTTGTTGCCGTGTTTTGCAGATTTGCGACTAATAGAAGAGCAGATACGTGAACCAAAACCGTGAACTTACAAAAAAGTATGTCGAGAATGCAGAGAAGCGCGGCATAAAGGCACTATTTATTACCGTTGATGCTCCTCAATTGGGCCGTCGTGAGAAAGATATGCGAATGAAGAACGCTGATGATGGGGGTAACGATGGCGGTGCAAAAATACAAGAAGGACAGAAAGTTGAGAAGGGCGAGGGGCATACTCGCGCTATTAGTGTAAGCTTCAACCGCTTTGAGTATCTATAGAATTGCTGATCCTGCTTCTTCTCCAGTCTTTCATTGATCCCAGACTGGACTGGGAGGACATCAAATGGTTCCAGACCATAACTAAGAGTAGGAGTATTTTATCACACAAAGCGTCCAGCTGAATCTCATGTTGCTTTTATAGTGCCAATCATCCTCAAGGGTGTCGCTACCTGGGAGGATACGGTGCTCGCCATCAACGCAGGTTGCCAGGGCGTGGTACTCTCAAATCACGGCGGCAGACAGCTCGATATGGCTCGCTCGGGTTTGGAGATCCTCGTAGAAGTCATCGACGAACTCAAGAAACGCCAGCTCTGGCCGAACCCAAACTTCCATATTTTTGTTGACGGCGGTGTTAGGCGTTCATCAGACATCCTCAAGGCACTTGCACTGGGTGCTAGCGCCGTAGGAATCGGAAAGGGGTTCCTATACTCGTATTGCGCATATGGTCAGGAGGGAGTCGAGCATGCGATCAATATCCTTAGGGACGAGATGATTATGGATATGCGTATGCTTGGTATTACGAAATTGAGCGAGCTCGTGCCCGAGATGGTTGATGCGCGTGGACTGACGCAGCACACTGTGCCAAGTCCAGAGCATGTACTGTATAACAATACTTGTGCGTATCTTGTTTCTTTAACGATATCGCAATCTGAATCTAATTCATTTACTTCTGTAATTTCAAGACGAGAAGCTCCAGCTCGCAAAGTTCCGAGAAGCAAAACTGTAGACTCTCGTTATATCTCTTTCCGTGCATCTGGTATTGTTTCAAAACTTATATCCAGTCCTTGTACATGTATGCTACTAATAAATGAATGCTATTTCTAAAGCCCTGAGTACGAAAGTATCAACGTCCGAAATCGTTTAAAATGTAGACCATTACCCCAAAACGACAGGTTGCGGATTTTACAAGGGCCTTCCAGCTCTAACTTTCATGACATGGTAAAAGAGAGCAGCTACGGCTGCGACAGGGATGACCAGAAAGTGACCAGCACTGAACTCCGGGAATTTGAATGGTTCTCCCTGCTGCGATGCGGTAAATGTCAGCGTCGATGAATTGGAATCCGGACGACCCTATAGCATGAATAACATGAGTTGAATCGGACATGACGGAGAAAATGAACCGAAATTCAAAGGCCGCGAGACGTACAAAGTTACACCCATGTACGCATCCCACGTTCTTTGACTCCGCGATGATCTGCGCTGTTCTCCATGCAGGCATAGCACATACTTGTAACGTAACTTTATGTGCGCACTCATCAGTAAACGTATGTGAGGGACGGCTGGATGTGGAACAAAAGGCAGGCTCACCAAACGAAAAGAGCCAGAAAACACTCAGAGCATGGAGGATAACATTCCTTCCGAGAAACAGCATTGCCTCAACCAAATATGTTATAGAAAGATAGGATTGACCAGATTGAGTTCGACCTTTGTAAATGAGTGTGTTGAGTTATGAGCTATGACGAGTGATTGTGTTAGAAAGGAACGAGCGATATGAGATATTGGGAGGGAATATGATGGGTTTGTGGTTCGATCGCATGAAATTTTACCTATATTTAAATTACCATGTCACTGAGCCTTGAGAAAAAGGTTTCCATAGTGGACAACAGCTAAGGCCACCACTGTTTCTTTCATATCTGCTCTTTCATCCAAATTAGGAAAGTCTTGTGTGAGGCTCGTGAAAAACGTTTTGATTGCCGTAATGATTGCCGAAGAGTGACCGAAGTCTGCGATCTGGTTTCGTCTTTTATCTTCGAAGGCTCCGTAAGACCCACCTGAGGGACATACTGTAAGGGGCCTAATTAGAGGGTGTACAAGACCCTTGTAGTCCCTCTAATTAGGTACCTTTTGAGCTTTTCTCCCTAACTGTACTTAATACTAGACTTAAATAGTAAAGTCAAAATAAAATAAAATAAAATAAAATAAGTATGCTGAGTGCCCTATATGGCAACTGTGCCCTCCCCACCTGCCACACCTTGAGCTCACTGTCTCATACAGTGAGCACACACTTTCCTCTGTATCTTACTCAATTCTTAACCAAATTTCTTCATTATTCCTTTAAAATTAATGTAAATTTAGTTGGAACTCATTCATAACACAAATACAATGTTAAATGTATCAATTACTTGTGTATTTGTGTACTATTTGATAATAAAAAATACAACAGTTTCCTCTGACTAAGATTTATGATACTCTAAACTCTTAATACTGTAATAATAGTAGAGCTTATATATCTACAGTATATCCAAGAATTGAGTCTGTGTAATGTATACAAAGGAAGTTACACTATGCTTTATATACATAATTTTGTAGTCTCATATCTATGTAACCACAGAAGTTATTAATATAAGAGTGG